GTAGATTTCACACAATTTCCAGGACTTTCACAAAGTGACTATCTTTATATGGTATGTTTCTTGAATCGGGATCGCTTTCTTGTTGTTGGTACTGAGAAAATGAACTTCTAGCCTCGGGTACTGGTCCCACATCAGCGCCGCCCCTCGAAGATATTTTCGTTTTCGGAACGGAATCAGCCAAGTCGTTACTGATAAGGCCGTGCCGGAAGTGGCAATAGCAACTTGGTTCCATCGATCCCTTCGTATACTGGGCCTCTTTTCGGCTAGCAAGAGAGACGCCCAATCGACCTTCGGGATGGGCTTCTCCGTCGTGGACATACACGTCACAAGTGTCCGACATACATAATCACTTCATTGGATAATTTCGAACAATCCATGGCAGGGCGAAACGTAACATAAAGTCATTTCGGGCACAGAACCGGGGTACAATACGCAAATTCTCAGTACGAAGTCATCTCGAGCACACTGCGACGCGAACTTTGACCAATGGGCTTAGTATATACCGTAAACAATGGACTAGTACGTGGCTGGTGTGACACTCAGGCGACCACCGTCTGTTATCACACAGCTGCCATTGCAATAGGCTCCTGCCCGCGAGGCCAGATACAGCAAAGGTCCCATAATGTCCTCTGGCTGCCCTGCACGCTCGGCAGGGATTTGTTCCACTGGGAAAGAGCCTTCTTCTGCTGGATTTTGGTCTTTGATCAGGGTAGTAGTGAGGTCCGTTGGAAATACTGAGTATTATCAGACTCGGGTTAGTCCTGATATCTTAGAAAAGGCAGGCAAGAATACTTACAGCCTGGACATAATACATTTGCTCTGATTCTATATGGCACCAAGTATGTGGCCAGAATTTTCATCAACATGGTCGTGGCAGCCTTGCTTGTACCATAGGCAAAACCTGCCGTAACTTTCCTGTTAAAGCTTCCAATGCTGCTGGTGGCAATGATCTGACTCCTTCCTCCTTGGTACGCTGATCGCTTGTTCCCTTCGTCTAACAGCCCAAGGAAAGCAATAGTCGTGTAAAAAACCGCTGTACAATTGACGTGGTATGTATTGGTAAAATCTTCCATCGGAATGGTGAACAAAGTCTCCTGTATTTCTGCGATGCTTGATCCTTGAGCAACGTTGCCCGAAGGGCCTGCAATACCAGAGTTCGCCACAAGAAGATCTATGTATCCTGCGTCACTCGCGATGAATGCTGCCGCCGATCGTAAGTTTTGTCTATCTGTTACATCACATTCCAGCGGAATGACACAGTCCAAGCCCTGATTCTGTTAGAAACTGAAAAGGAAAAGACGCACTGGTGAGGAGCCTGAAGTAGGCATGTTGCACTTACAATCTTGCCGACTGCGTCGTCCAGGACTTGCTTCCTCCGCCCAAGAATATAGACTCTTTTTGCGCCATTCTCGGCCAATGCCTGAGCCATGAAAAGCCCAAGGCCTGTACATGATCAGGGTTAAACTTCAATGAATCAGATAGAACAGCAGTAGTGACGAGTGATGAAAGAAGGGATCTTGGAGGAGCACGCCCCATTGCCATGCACATCGGACTTACCACTTCCTCCGCCCGTGACAACGGCAACAATTCCATTGACATTGAACAACAGATTGACTTGGCTCGTTTGACCCATTGCTGCAATCAGGGTTCCAGGGAAAGATTAAAACAAACCTGATAAGGCGTCTAGTGACGGATAGCGAAAGGGTGTTTAAAGTGCTACAGAGTATTGACCTTGTCGACATGGCATCATGTGGAAATGACATTTCTCCGCCTGCGTACGCCATCAAATCAGTCCACTGAATGCAAGATATTTAGACGTTGAACACAGGTCAAGCGCAGCCATCGAGACGGCAAAAGTTTCAGCGGCCATACCTCCCTTGATAACTTCGGAAATGCTTTCCACTTTCAGCGCTACAATATATCCTCTTTGGCACGTTTCCCTCCCCTCCTGCTCTCACCTCGTCTCCGAATACCTCGCTTATTTGCTGCAAGGAAGAGCAAGCCAGTGCTTGGACTTCACACATAGGAGCCAAATATGGCCGAAAGGTACCGCGGGCTTATGTTTTGGGTCTCGACCTCAACGTCTTTGACCCGCGATTCGAGAGCAAAGTCAATCGACTTATCTGCTCGCTAGGACGACGAATTGGAACGCGAGCTATCTGTTGGAACGGGTCAAGTTGGGTTACAGATACGGAGGCGCCTGAAGAAATGCACCCCAGTTTTCGGGGTTGGCGTTCGGAAAGGGTAACCCAGACTTGACGGTCAGGATTTAGTGGCAATGAAGTTCTCCGCAGTCCACCTCATCCCTTCAGAAGTAGAAAGTGAATCCGGGAGACTCTGCCGCAATTTGAACCCGCAATTTGAACCCGCAATTCAGAAACGTCTATCCTTCTGTAGGCAGCTATCCCTCATAGTTCAATGCTCACAGTGGTCCGTTTCCGCTAAATGGCTGCATATTGATAAGTAAGTCGTTATCTAGGCTCGTGGCAAGGGCTTTGTTTTCGATAAAATACTTGTCGATTCCGAACCCTGAATCCATGAACTTCGCAACTTCACTGAAAGCACTCCACAAAGCCCAAAATGTCACTCTCAGAGAGAGAGAAATCCCAAGGTCCAAGGGAGATCCACCCTATCGACTCTAACGACGGCAGAATTGGACACAGCGAAGCAATCAATTCGTTAAACTATAAGCAAACCAAACGTCACTTGCTCCCCCGACACATTCAATTGATTGCTATCTCTGGTGCCATTGGTACAGGACTCTTCGTAAGTGAAACAATTACGCCTTGCAGACGAGATATTCATTATCATAGATTGGCACCGGTTCTACACTGCACCAGGCTGGTCCAGCTGCTCTCTTCCTCGGATATGCTATTTATGGTGGCCTTATTTACATCGCCTTCAACTCGATGGGCGAGATGGTGTCGTACCTACCGATCGATGGATCCTATGTCGAATTTGCGAGCCGGTTCGTCGACAACAGCTTTGGCTTTGCACTCGGATGGCTTGTTTTCTATAACTACGCCGTTACCGTTGCCGCCGAAGCCACTGCTGTGGCTGGAATGATCAATTACTGGAACACAGACATAAACAATGCTGTTTGGTGCACACTATTCCTGGTCTCGATCGTTGTCTTCGTAGGACTCCTGGCCCCATACGTACGCCCACTTAATGCTGACGTATCTAGAATGTGTGGGGGGTGAGGTGGTTTGGTGAAGGGGAGTTTTACTTCTCCCTTTTCAAAGTATTCCTCATTGTGGGCCTTCTGATATTTACTTGTGAGTGGATCACCACATTGCTGCTAGCTGGTACAGTTACTGAGAGTGATTCAGTCATTACGATGGTGGGTGGTAATCCTCAGCATGACGCCTTCGGTTTTCGCAGTTGGAATCACCCTGGGGCCTTCCATGCCTACATCGCCAGTGGACCTTGGGGCAATTTCCTCGCCTTCTTTTCGACATTTGTCGGCGCCGCCTACGCATACGGGGGCCCTGACTACATTGCTATGACCGCGGGTGAGGCCAAGTATCCTCGTCGCATATATCCCAATGTTTTCAGACGCGTCATCTACCGCCTGCTTGTCTTCTACATCGGGGGTGTCCTTGCTGTTGGTATTTTGGTGCGTCCGCTATCCACCGAGTCAGCGCTGCGCGTTGCTAACTAATGCTCAGGTTCCGTATGACGATCCCGACCTTGGGACCTCCAAAAAGGGAGCTGGATCGTCTCCGTTCGTCTTGGCCATGGTACGCATGAGCATTCCGGCTCTGCCGTCTATCGTCAATGCGGCGATTTTGACATCAGCTTGGTCTTGTGGCCTCGCGAACTCCTTTACGGCTTCACGTGTCCTCTACTCTCTGGCTTTGCGTGGCACTGCCCCAGCAATCTTCCGAAGAACTTTCCGTGGAGTACCAATCGTAGCTCTTGGAGTAGTAGTCGCATTTGGTTGCTTGTCTTACATGTCGGTGTCCAACAGTGCAGCAACTGCTTTTGGCTACATTGTCAACATCACGGGAGCCACTTGGATCTTGAATATGGGTCTTCAGCAAATAATCTACATTGGTTTCCGGCGCGGGATCGCTTATCGGGGCATCGACCGTTCGACGCTGCCATTTACTGTGAAGAGACAGCTGCCGCTTGCTTGGTTCGCGCTGTGCTGCTATCTCTTCCTCTTCTTCGTAAGTTGTCCCCATAACACAAAGACTACGGATCAGACTCATCTTGACGTAGACTAACGGATGGGTTGTCTTTACCCGCGGTAATTGGGCGGTGGATGACTTCCTCTTTGCTTACCTCAGTGCACCAATTTTTGTGGCGCTGTATTTAGGACACAAGATCTGGACTGTCAGTCATGGCAGTACGTGGAAGCTCCATCGACCCCGAGATATTGATCTCGATACTGGACGCGATGAGGTCGAGCAAGACGAGGGAACCTATCCTCCTCTGCCAACGACAAAGGTCGCCAAATTCCTGCATTGGCTATGGGGTGCCTGAGACTGAGTTTCTCTTCGCAACGCTTCATCGCAAGATTTTGCGCTGCGTTTTAGTAAGTTTATCGAGTTTCCATAGTACGCGCAACCCATGTAGCTTCTGGAGCTTTCCTTGCCATATGCGGTTTAGCATGGACGCTTCAGCGATGTTTCTTTTTCCATATGATGACCGTGTGATTCAAAGATTTGCCAAATGTTCTGCTGAACATTTATGAAGAATGATAATATGGAAGTGAATGAGTACTATTGCATTTCTTGCATATTTGCTGGATAGTCATATTGAGACCGCTTCCCTCAACCCGCTTCCGAAATGACACAGGACTCCTCGGGTAGCACAGAATCGTGTCGTGCTATACGCGGTGTTGACGATACATTTGCGTATAGCCAGGCAATCTTTTCTCGCGATACTCCTTCTCGATGCTTGGAGGCATAGACCTGAAAATATGCAGTCATTACACGTGGAACATGTGCAGTTTCCAGAGTTGATGTCGAATAGAAGGATACGACAAGGCAAGAGGCCCCTTTCCGCTCTATTGTTGTCCTTGCAGTCGTTTTGCTTCAGATGCTACCGCTTCTGCTATCGAATCTACCAACCCTGGGGCTTGAGGCTCCCAGCCCAAAGTATGCTGTGCTCGACCAGACCTAAACACCGCATTGGTACCCCATAATACACCTCCGTGTGACGTTACTTTGTTCGCCTCATCAACATCGATCGTAAGTTCTATCTCGGAGCTTTTGAGTAAGCCTTGTTCTTGGGCAGCGGAAGCAACGCATCGGTTCAATTCGCCGAACTCCTGTCACGGGTTAACGGTTTTCTCACGAGAAAATTGAAACGTACCATTGCTCCAGACCCAGGAAGATATATTCCTTCTCCATTCCAAAGCCCCGGCTGACTTTTGACTGCGGCATGCGCCAAACGCAAAAATAGGTCACCAAGGTCTCTGATGTGGATGTGACTCCATTGATTGAGACCTCTCAACAAGCGAAACCCTTGTCCGTACTTCAACGTTGCCCGTGCGATCTCTGGCACCTGAATGCTCCTTTGATTCACAGGTCCAGCTCCCTGTCCATAGATCAAAGGAGCAACAATCAAGGCTGTCCGTGCGACTGACGGATCTTGGGCCATTATGAGGTTATCCACTAGTCGTGATGGGCTGTTTCGAATGAGGCTGAGAACCTTTTGAGAATCCTCCACGTCGTCATATACTTCCACCGGTGATTCTCCATATCGGCCCTCCATGACTTCAGGGATAGTAAAGAGGGAAGCTCCTGAAATCTGGATCCAGTACGCTGCTTCTTTTTGAGCCAAAATCCACAGTTCTGATACCCAAACTTACATGGTGAGTCAGAGCCTTTGTCTCCGATCGCTCTGGCAATGGCTTGACTGCTTTTGAGGTGGTTTGTACTTGCAAGGTCTGGTGAGACACCGTCAATGGAAGCAATATAACTTGTGGCGTAAGCAAACGTACGGAAAATGATGTCTGCCCGGCGCGTTTCTTCCTCGACCAGCCCGGAATCGTCCAAATCACCAAGGACTATCTGAACATGGTCTGGAAACATATCTAGGACCCTTCTTGCCTTTTTGATGTCTCTTATCAGGCACGCGATCACCGTGCATGATGCCGGAAACGACGAGGCAATCGATTGTAACGCCTGGCCACCGACATAGCCGGTGGCACCGGTGCTTGACTCGGTCAGGCTTACAAACCCTTTGCTTGACTGTCTCGATTGGCACGTACAGAAATATTCTCACCATTGATTTGCTTATGTTTCAAAGAAGTCAGAAATGACTATTAAAGTATGCGCGTGGAAAGATAACGTTTGTCTTCTGCGACATTGATGTACTTGCTCCGTTTCATTTATCACCTCAGGATAGTTTCTCGATATTGGAGATTGACGTAACTTCGCGATTCGGCCAATTAACAACTGCGCACCAAAAAGGCAAGTGATCCCGGCGATGTCCGTCCACGTTCGGCTGACCTCCGCGGTGACAACTTTGTCTTCCTACAATCATTCGAAAACAGAAGTCAGCATGGATTGATCTCAAAGTCAGTGCGAGAACATTATCGGACAAGACGCTCTCACATGGGGAGAAGCTGATTTTCGTGCTTGTTATTCGCAATTGATTAATTAGCGCCCACAATAGCGAATCCCATCTTCAAGTCTGAGGTGACGACATGAAAACTGGCAGCAACAAGAATCCCAGTCGAAGCCACACTTTTGGAGGTTGCAAAACATGCCGATCACGTCACGTGAAGTGTGACAAGGTTCGACCTGCATGTCTTACTTGCAGGGCTGTGGGCATTGTTTGCGAAGGCTTCAGCCAAGAGTTGAGATGGGTTGAGAACCGGAGCAGTCATGGTGGCAATGGGGCCAAGACAGACTCTACTGAGCATCCCGTGAGGCAGCATTTATATACAGGTATTCTTTACAACGTAAGATTCAGCCAAGCCATGCTAACAAGGATCTTGTAGAAGCAAGTCGCAAGTTAATGAGCAAAGCTTTACTTGCTGATATGGCTGAAAAGCCTGTTGACGCATTTCTCTCAGATCTAGACGCAAGATACCGAGATGAACCCCCAGAAGCTGTTAATGGGGTCTCGATAGGCCCTTTTGGGGTGTTCAATCTCGTCCCACCACCTAATGGGGGCCTGCCTCTCAACGACTCACCCCTATCGGTGACTGAGCTGCAAGCCATGGAGGTCTTCCAAAGTGAGGATGCCATGCCATCTGTCGAATCTGTTGGTAGTCTGGCCGATTTTCACGGCTTTTTGGACTGGCCCGACCTCTTCGACCTTGATTTCACAAGCTATGATATACCTCAGCCTACATCTGACAACGATTTTCAAGACACTTTCCCTGGCTACGTTCCTACGGTATCGCACGTCGCCCAAACTGATAATGTTGAGGCCGAAGGTGACTACGGCCATAATAGTATTAAGACCGACTCGTTGAATTTCATGCAGAACAATGGAAGAGTGAGCCACGCCGGGATTGATCCCGCAAAGGCGGAACTGGCTCTCGCTCACTTCAAGAATCACTTTATCTTTCATTTGCGTATCATGCCCATCGAGAAGAGATCGCCGTGGGAAGTCAACAACTTGAATTCTGCCATCATGACCTTGGCTAGAATCACATATATGACTTCACAGCCGGTGTCCCATGGCGCCCTAGCCAACTTGCAGGCTGTATTGGCTCTTTCGGCACACCATCTAGGCACTCAGAACGTGAGTCATGGTACAGTATCTGCAGAAGACTGGCAAAGCTTCTCGGCCAGGATGAGTGAGCGGGCGATGGAAAACTTGCAGTCATCTTTACGGAACGAAACCAGAGGCCCCGATGCCGCCAAATATAAAGACCAACTTATGGCAATCCTCGCCATGCTGACCTATGCCGTAAGCCTCCAGTCCAGACTGAAACTATGTTACTAAATCCTGATAGACCCTGCACGACAGGCAACAAGAGGCTCGTGCATATATGATCGACGCTGAGCGGCTCCTTAGAATTCGTGGATTGGCCAAACGAACCATTTCACGCAAGGCGAGGGAGTTGCACCATGTCTACACGTGGATCAGGATAATGGAAGAGAGCACTTTCGTCCTTCATAACTACGAAATAACAGGGACGAAAGTGGCTGCTGGATCTACGAAGCAGCCAGCCAGAGAATTTCGGAACGATGGAACCCTAGGTACCCGACCGCTCGGCATGTATAATACAGGGCCAAATCCGCGCTTGGATGACTTTCTCCGGCTCAACACACCACCCTCAGACAGCGAGACTGATGCTATAGCCACCAAGGATGTTGAAACTGGACAGCACGATATCCACCTTGAGGACAGTCGGGAATTTCCCCCAAGCATGTATACCGAGCTGTACGGAATTTCTGAGACTTGGCTTAGTCTTGTGTCTCAAACCACTCGATTAGCAAACGTCATTGATAGGCTAGGGGTGGACAACGAACGAGACAATCTCCAAGCTATGGAGCTCCTTGAGAGGCGAAAACAGCGACTGGAGAATATGGTATGCTCGTATACGGCAATAGACCGTTATGATGCTACCGGCCAAGCACAGTCTGAAATATCGAGGCCAAGCACGGAAATCGCGCGCGATTCCATAGTACGGGCGCTAAATTCTGCTTTGGTGATATTCTTTTATCGAAGGATCAGGAGGCTCAACCCTTGGATTTTGCAAGAGCATGTGAGAAACGTTGTTCAGGCTTTGAAAGACTATGATACATCGTGTCGTGATGCTAATATTTGGGGAACCGGGTCTCCATGGCCTGCTTTCATGGCAGGGTGCGAAGCGTTGCACCCTTCACACAGAGAGTACTTGAGCAATTGGTTTGATAAGGCTTTTGATATAACAGGCTTTGAGAGGTTGAAAGCAGCGAAAGCGTGCATGGAGGACATATGGAGACGTCGCTGTCAACCGACACCGGGGGTGGCCCGGAAAGACCGTCATCAACTCTGGACATGGGAACACGCTTCGAGAGAACAGAACATGCATTTTCTGCTGTCATAAGCCCTGTCTAACATGGCTAATAAATATCTACAACCTGGTTGAATTTTTGAAACCTTCTTCATTAGTCAACAACCTTCAACCCAGCATTCCGCAGAATGTTTGCCAACTCTGTCCGCGGCCCATCAGTCAGTAACTTGAAGGGCTTCCTGGGCCCACCGGTGGGGTGACCAAGTAGTTCCATGCCCGTCTTCACAGCAGATGGATAGTTGTGCTCCTCTAAGAACTTGCAAATCGGGTAGATTTTCGACCACAATTCTCGGCCAAGGTTCAGATCGCCCTTGACAGCCAAAGCATCCCACAATTGGGCGGAAAGCTCAGGAATGATATTTGACGCTCCCCAAACAGAGCCTTTGCAGCCAGCCACCAAGCCATAGAATGTGAGTGTATCCCACCCATTGAACGCGGTGATTTGGTTGCCATGAGCAAAAACCAATTCGGTGAATGCAGGAGCGTTGCCAGATGTATCTTTCAGATATTTCACGCCGAATTTGGAGAGACCTGCAATCTGTGGCGGGGTAAGGGTTAATCCAGATGCAGAAGGAATGTTATAGTAGATAATATCCAGATGGGAGGCGGCATAGATTTCGGACATAAGCTCCCCAAGTTGTTCATAGTTGACGGGATCGTAAAAGGGTGGAACGACCATTAAAGCTGCGGCTCCGGCTTTTGCAGCATGCCGTGCCAGCTCGATACAATCCTTGGTCGAGGTGGCGCCAACACCAGCGACCACAGGTACTTTGCCATGGGCGTATTCGATACACAGCTCTAGGTTTTGCTTTCTTTCCTCCAGAGTCATGGCTGTGAACTCTCCTGTAGTGCCGCCAGGTACAAGGCCATGGCAGCCAGCGTTCAGAACATGGTCAATATGCGCTTTGAGACGTTGCTGGTCAATGGCCGTGCCGTCATCCGTGAACGGTGTGATCAATGCCACTAGAACGCCGGTCAAGGCCTGATTTGTAGTAGCCATTATGATGAATTCTTGGGCAAAGAGTTGTTACTAGGATTAAGGAATTGTTCTAAACAACGTGTGAATGTGATATAGTCAGAAATTGATATCTTGAAATACACACTATATGCAACGGTCCTTCAATGCCACCGCGTGCTTTTAAAATGACCCAGTTGTAGGAATCCCTTTCTCAGCAGAGCAAACGATCAAAGATCAAGGGGGAAATGGTTACCGGAGGATCTCAGCTCCAGCAAACCACAAATAGGTACGTATTACTACAATCACTAATCCTTGACCCCACCTCCCCTTTCCACTTTGATAACTCGGCCCCCATTCTGGAAGGTCTTTCCGGTTACTTTCTCTTCTCGATTTTTGGACCGGAGATCTCTGCAAGGGCCTCAATCAGTCTATGCCTGGGTTTAGGCGTTGTCTCTTATCACCCTTTGTAATTGTAGCGAGCTAGTTATCAACGAATGACTTAATTCTCGTCGTCTTCACTCAGTCTTCGCGCTCTCTTATTCCGCCTCACAATTTAATAGAGTACATCACGATGGCAAATCGACCTTTATCACTTGATCGCAATGTGTTTTCCATTGCAGACCTTGAGTCACTCGGTGCAAAAAAGCTGCCGAAAATGTATCGTGGTAGGCAGAATCTGAACCACACAACAATCTCCAAGGCTGACCATTACAAGACTACTACAATGAAGGTGCTATGAACATGATTTCGTAAGTCGCGTACAAAATTCACTCACAACAGACAATCAAGTAGCACTCTGACTACCATCAGACTGCGCGACAACGTCGAAGCATACGAACGTTATCGGATTCTGCCACGAGTTTTACGCAACGTCGAGAGTGTTGATACCTCTACAACCTTTCTAGGGCACAAGGTTAGTATTTCGTGGCAGCATGTGACGGGAAGCCCTCAGTTTCCGTGCAAAGCAATGCTATGCTAACTTTCATATGGCATAGGTAACATTCCCACTCGGCATCAGTCCATCGGCCATGCACAAATTGGCTCATCCTGATGGGGAATTGGCGACATCACGAGCAGCTGCAACTCTGAACGTGGGTATGTGTCTTTCATCTTACGCAACTACATCCCTAGAAGATGTGGCCAAGCAAGGATGTGGCAACCCTTATATGATGCAGATGTGCGTTCTGAAGGACCGGAGCAAAACTAAGCAGCTCCTGGATAGAGCTGAGGGTTGGTCGACGCGCCTCCCATTCTCCGAGCCTGTACTGACAAAGCGGAGCCGCTGGCTACGAGGCTCTATTTCTCTCAGCCGATGTGCCAGTGCTGGGACGTCGCCTCAACGAATTCCGCAATGACTTCACGCTCCCCAAAGGCCTTAGCTTTCCCAACATTCTATCCACTGGTGATAACGAGTTTGCAAAGAGTGCTAGTTCGCAAGACTACGGTCGGTCCCAAGTTGGAGCAGATATCGCTTTCGCTAACTGACAGTCTGTCTAGATTCTAGTTTGGAGTGGGCTGAAATTATCCCTTGGCTAAGAAGGAATACGAAGATGCAGATATGGTTGAAAGGCAGTAAGTAGATAAGATGACCCTGCCCTGGCCCAAAGAATCTGCAAAGGTGACCTCTCGCTGGCAGTACTCAGTCCTCAAGATGTCGATCTAGCCATTGAGCACGGAGTGGACGGCGTGGTGATATCTAATCACGGTGGCCGTCAGTTGGATGGAGTTCCTGCCACCATTGATTGCTTGAGAGAATGCTCTCGAGTGGGCAGGGGGCGAATACAGATCGCCGTTGATGGGGGAATCCGATGTGGATCAGACATCTTTAAAGCTATCGCCCTCGGGGCACAACACTGTTTTATTGGGCGGATAGCAATCTGGGGGCTTGCTGTAAGTTTATTGAATATCCTCCAGATACGGTGCTAATGGTTAGGTTTGCAGTACAACGGACAGCAGGGAGTCGAACTTGGCTTGAAGCTTCTTCTGGAGGAGTTCCGAACGACAATGGCACTCACAGGGTACTATAATCATAATTTAACGTGGTGCTACATATAGTCACTAACCAATATCGATGTCCAGATGTCGAACGATCAGTGAAATCACACCAGATCACCTCACTTTTCTCGGACCCGGTGGGCGACTCCAGAAGTTGTAGATTCGCGTTGATCAACTTATGCATCGTGAGCGTATTCCAAGTTCCATAGCGAGGAGGTCATTTGCCACTATGCCAGCTGCAGTGTAGATTCATGCTCTAATTCCTATTCTGTTTCCTTTTCCATGGTGGAGCTTGTCCCCTCCCGGGAATATGAATGACTACTTGGGCTAGTAGATTCATCTATCCGACCGATTTATCACCTTCGAACAAAAATTCCACCGTGTCTCAAAGATTATGTTGCTCTTGAATTATCAGTATGGCCCGAGTCGCATTTCTCACCTTCCGCTTACGCTGATCTTGACATCCTCTTCTTCGCAAGTGCGAATCATACGATCTTTTCGGGAATTATCGAAGGCAATGGAGAAGAGCCGGAAGCAAATGCTCCATGGCTCAAGTCGTTTTGTTGTGCAGCAATCATCAGAAAGATGGTCTGGAATGGTCAGCTTGGCGGAAGGATCTTGAGTTCATGGAATGTAGGTTGCGCTAAGAACGCGATGAATAGCCTTCACGCAGATTTCCGAGACTCAGCTCTGGAAAGTCTGGACGAGTCTCAGTCTAAGGCAACAAGGATTGCACATGTCCCATATAGCGTAGACCGTGATCGTGTGATCAATGATGCATTTTCCACGGAGGAGATTTGTGGCTTCTAAAAAGAGGAAGGTAACTCCGAATATTATCGACTGGAAGATAGGGTCCATTACCAGGTAGTCAATTCATCTTCTTTCCATGGAATGAGTTGCTCACCACAATTGTGGTTTTATCCGAATCGTTGCAACTAATCATTGCATGATTGGTAAATCATTCCGTCGGTACAGGGGCGCATCAGGTTCTTCGGATGAATCTAGGCTTGGACAACAAATTTCCTACGTCGCAGTATCTAATCTTAGCAAATACATCTGTAGACACTCACCTAGTCGACTTCAGATCATCTACAACGTCCTTGCAGAAATATATCCCCCGAATTTGGTTAACAAAGCTCGAGGCCAGCAGTCATGGGAGATTTAGTTCAAGAGACCACAACACCAAATGGCCATACATATACACAGCCTCTAGGACTGTTCATTAACAATGAATTCGTTCGGGCCTCATCCGATCGAACGATTACCAGTGTGGATCCAGCGTCAGTACTTCAGTGTTAAGAGCACTCGAATTACAGAACTGACGGCTTGTTTCAGGACCGAGAAGCCCATAGCCACTGTCCAGGCTGCATCGGCGCAAGACGTAGACACTGCAGTTCAAGCAGCATCAAAGGCCCTCAAACACCCTTCATGGAAGCTGCTCTCGGGAACGGATCGCGGAAAGCTTATGTCGAAATTAGCAGATCTGATCGAAAAACGCAAGGAACTTTTGGCGTCAATCGATGCCTGGGACAATGGTAAATTCTGGCTTCCGAAGTTTATTTGAAGGGCTCCAAATTAACAACTGTTTAGGCAAGCCGTATAAAGTTGCACTGAGTGAAGATATACCAGAAACATTCAACACCATCAGATATTATGCTGGTTGGTGCGACAAAGTGTCCGGGCAGACCATCAATACCACCCCTGAGAAGTTTGCATACACATCGCGGCAACCCATCGGTGTCGTCGCTCAGATAATCCCTTGGAACTATCCGCTATCCATGGCAGCTTGGAAGCTTGGACCTGCCCTGGCTTGTGGGAACACGGTGGTTCTCAAGGCTGCCGAGCAGACGCCTCTCAGCATTTTGGTGTTGGGCCAGTTGGTCAAGGAAGCAGGCTTCCCGCCAGGCGTCTTGAACTTTGTGAATGGGTTCGGGCAAGAAGCCGGATCCGCTTTGGTTCAGCACCCTCTTGTAGACAAAGTTGCGTTCACGGGGTCAACCGCGACCGCGAAGCATATCATGACGATGGCGGCAAAATCTCTGAAGAATATTACGCTGGAGACAGGGGGAAAGTCCCCTATGGTCGTTTTTAACGATGCGGATCTCGAACAAGCCGTGAAATGGTCGCATCTGGGGATCATGTCGAACCAGGGACAAATATGCACGGCAACGTCTCGGATCTTGGTCCAAAATGAGATCTACAATAGTTTCCTCTCCAAGTTTAAAGAAGCAGTCAGCACTGTATCCAAAATCGGGGACCAATGGGACGAATCGACGTATCAAGGGCCGCAAGTTTCTAAGGCACAATACGACCGGATTCTATCGTACGTTCAGATTGGTCAGGACGAAGGAGCCAAGCTTCTTATGGGAGGACAACCATGGCGAATTGATGGAAAGGGCTATTTTATTACTCCAACTGTTTTCACCGAGGTCGCAGACTCGATGCGGATATACAGGGAAGAAGTTTTCGGACCTTTTGTCACCATCTCTTCGTTCAAGACCGAAGAGGAGGCACTTTCGCGGGCCAACGACTCTACGTACGGTCTTGGTGCGGCACTGTTTACAGAGAACCTCTCGAAAGCTCACAGGATGGCGGCGGAGATTGAGAGCGGAATGGTATGGGTCAACAGTAGTCAAGATTGTGACTTTCGCGTCCCGTTCGGTGGTGTCAAGCAGAGCGGCATTGGGCGCGAACTCGGCGAGGCCGGCCTGGAAGCTTATTCTCAGATCAAAGCCGTCCATATCAACATGGGTAACAAACTCTAGATACTCTACTCCACAGATGAGCGGTCCAACATACGATAAAGAAGAAGTTATCCTCCTTCGAGCTTTCATCCCCCATTCTCTCCTACTCCCGCCTAGAAAGGTAGCGCGTGACACGTTCTTCATTCAGCACCATTCAGCAGGACACTAGAAATCACAGATCCGGCAACGCAACCTAGACAATACACAAGGTTGACAGAAGAGTGTGGAGTACCGTGGAAGATTCCCTGTGACGGGATGGCAAACTCGATGGCATAGTTTCGATTTAATATCCCTCGAGCCAGCACCTTTTGGTGCATGCCCACCAGTAGTCGTGAGTTATTCTTGCCAAGGTCGTCTTGGTATAAAGCATTTACCGCATCCCACGGCAACTTCCTCGGCGCAAAGTACTGTTTTTCAACATCTTGCATAAGGGGAAGCCCATTGGAGAGAAGCCATTATACAACTTGGATCATGAAGGACGACGTGCTCGAGCTCCAGGCATCAGCGCCCGCTTTTACGCATGTTGGCGAGGTGCTTGAGCAGCACGCCGATATTGCGCTGAATTTTGTCCAGCAACACGAAGACACGTGCTACGCTCGGCAAGAGGAGAAAGCAGTGTTGCGGAAGATTGCTTTGACTCTGATGCCTCTGGTTCGCTCCCTTTCCCATCGTCCCTCACATTCAAGGCACTGATAAGATAGATGTTTGTCTCCTATATGATACAATATATGGACAAGAGTATCCTGGGCCAAAGTGCCGTGTACGGGTTTTCCACGTCCTTGGGACTCAAGGGCCAGGACTATTCTTGGTGTGGGTGAGTCAAAGCCAAGAAATCATATGCATGGCCGTGGCCTGTATTGACACGCTCAGATCGATCTTCTATTTCGGATATCTGGCTTGCCAACCTCTCGCGACGACTGTTCTAATCTACCTCCCAGATTATATCGTATACTTCGAGTTCCAGCGTTTCGGCAGGCAGGTAGCAGGTCAGTCGAAAACCTTCTGCATACACATCAATAAGTTTACACTGCGGGCTGTGAATGGTAATACATGCTTGTGTAGCTGGATAAGTGCGGGGTTCTTTAGGCACATTCTAAATAAACCACGCAGGATTTCAGAACATGAAATCATGTGCGGGATTGTCAGTTAAGTTGTATCGCATTCTGTATTTCAAAATTGATATCTTCAAAACCTCCGGGGAATTATGCCTCGACCATCCCGAGCAATGCAGGAACGGTGTCCCTTCCCCATAGATACAGGACCTTTACCAAGGTTTGTAAAACGCTGTACCCTTAAGAATGGCTTCTCAAGAGAACACTCCCGGAATGCCACTGAGATGACTCTTTTCCGGTGGGACATCACCTGACATAGACAAAGTAAATCTGCTCCTTGTCGGTCTAGTCAAGGAACTCCTCGTTCCTGACGTACACGTTGGCCTGTCCGGTCGCAAGGGGCTTCTTTGTTTTCAAGGAGTTCTGCCACGTGAGGTAGACATAGTACAAGATGCAAGGAGTACCTCTGAGTTCGAGGTTGTGGTTGTCGAGTTACAGATAAGCCCTGAGTGCACCTGGTGCTTTCTCCTTTACTTCTGTTATACTATTAAAATAAGATTAAATTAAACGACGCTACTATAATAGTATGATTAAGTAAACGACACAAATTATGTTTAGCACTATTTAGCTAGATATTGTTTGGCCTAAAAGTATGTTAAGGCTAAAGGGGTTCTCAAAGGTTCATATAACGATTAGGCTGAAAGTGCCAAAGTATACTGTTAGGACGAAAGGTGAAGAGTGAGAGTGTTATCACCAAGAGTAGGCTGTATTTTGTGTATCTTAGTCCAAATCCAATAATATATGGCCGGCCGGATTAAACGGGATTGCGCGCATCGCCCAATGCCCAAGTAGTTAGGGACGAGCAAACAAACCCCAGATCAGCTCATTAAGTATCAAAAGCTCTACGGTAATCTTGACTCTTGTGTCTTGGGAACTTTGGTTCAATAGTTCCATCCCCAAGGATCTGCGTGTCGGCACAAACTTGACTCAGCTACCGTGCAGCGGCATGGTGATTCTGGGAGTTAATTAATGGTATTTGACTCGTTGAAGTTCTCATAACAATACAGAGACAGACAAAAAGTGGCTACGAGGTATTCATCAGGCCTAAGTATATTAGAACGGCGGTAAAGCTTGCTGACTATTATCTTACCACGTGTCTCTGACTGGGAACCCATTCATCTCACACAACAACATCAAACCAGAACACCTTGACATGACCCTAACGGACCGTATTTGCCTCTAGCCAGTCTGTCTGTGGGTCTATTCCATTAGAAGCCCACGCGGCCACACCTGCTTCAATGCCGGGATGTGCGGTGACGAAGAATAACCCTGACTGTATACCGTCGACGAGAGCCTGAGCGTTAACATCAGCTGGCACTCCGGTGGTGGTAGCGTAATGAATGAGCCCTTTGTGAAACTCGTCGGATGCCTTTCCTTGAAGCTCCGCAATTCCATCTGAAAATGTCAGGTCCGGAAACAAAACTGAGACAGTGACACCGTGAGGCTTGAGCGTGACCGCGAGACACTGTGCCATCGAAATATCAGCGGCTTTGCACAGACAGTATGCGGCTAGATTTGCTGACACCATCGGCGGTGGGTTTAAACCGTTGGGCGATGCTGTGATGACAATCTTCCCACTGCCACGCTCGATCATCGCGCGCACGAACGCCTGTGTGACACGAATGTAGCCAAATACGTTGACATCCATCTGCCGATAAAGATCCTCGATTTCGAGGTCGATAATGCTCCCGGATCGAATAATGGCGGCATTGTTGTGGACAATATCTGGCACGCCGATATCTTTGATCACCTGGGCTGCAAATTGTTTGACCTCACTGTCTTGAGAAACATCGACCTTGAAGGAATGCACCTCGTGGCCCTTTTCCCGCAGCTGAGATCTCACTTTGTCTTGTGCTGGACCACTGATATCTGCAAGCACTACTCGGGCACCACGGTGCGCGTACTCTGATGCCACTGCTTGACCTATTCCGCGTGCAGCACCTGTAACCACCACAATTTTGTCTTTCAAATCCATTTTGATAGCTTTCCAGACTTCCGATAGAGCGTGTAGCTGTACTGTTCGAGTTGACACAGGTTTCGGTGTCGTAGTACCAATGAGGAAGACGTAGCTAATTCAAAATCCCTACCTGTTGCCTTGTATGAGACCTGGACACAAATCTCGGTCACAAAACTCGGCACAGAACTCGACACAGAACTCGGCACAGAACTCGGCACAGAACTCGGCACAGAACTCGGCACAGAACTCGGCACAGAACTCGCTCGACTCCTGAAACTGATTTCGGCTACGGGAACTTGGGAAATTCTGCATCTATAGAGTGCACGGTTGGGATGTACCGAGTACCTCAGGTCTGGGTGGCAAGAAGCCCGCATCTGTGATACCTATTACCCGGTACCTGATTAGTTCGGAGACTACTTTAAGCGCCCTTCCCAAACGACCTCCACCTTTCTCCACCTGTTCCCAGTTATCGGCTGCCTCAAGTGGATTCGGGGAGTTCGGGCTGACCGAGACCGTCTGGATTGGGTGTACCGTCAACCCTCTTGGTTCTTTCCCGGCTTCGTCGAGATGCCCATGATAATGGTGTGAAAAATCTCGTATGCGTATACAGCGCCAAGTCTCGATTCTACGCGGAAACGATTGTGGTTCAGACGCTGGTCGACGGCATACTTGCAAACTGCGGGGACGGGGCTAGATCCCTGATCAACTCATTTAGTCTCGAAGCTACGGAGTACAAGAACTCGGGCCTCCGAAAGTGCCGACGAAAGCCGATGAATCGTTGGGATACCTGTTCGAAATTCCGGTGAGAGGGGCTAACCATTCTAGCACGGCAAAGCTTATATCTTCCACTAGCGGCAGATATGAATGCCGAAGTCACACCCCAGGGGGAGCTTATCTCAGAACTCGCATACCAGATTTAGAATGTGTAACCAGGAGTCTGGTTTGTACACCCTTTCTTGATACGGACAGGGCTCGCGGCAGCAGACATGGCGGGCCTCAGCCGCAGCAAAATCTACCTTTTGAGGGGACTGTCTCAGAAGAGCAGAACGGTTTGCAAAAATTGGACGAAAATCCTTGCAAGTACGGCTGAAGCACATGACTGGAGATGGGAGGAGCTTGGAGATGGGGCAGCAACCGAGATAGCACCCATCAACTTTTCGAGTAGCATAACAGGCGTCGTTAAAGGAGTGGACAATACCCGTAATAATTTGGTATCGAATGTGGCACAGGTGTTGTTTTCCTTGTTCAAGAGAGAGCCGTAAGTCGGTGCTTCTGCACTCGACCCGAAAGAGGAACGATGGTTGGCGACAGTACCTCTTATCATGCATTTTCACAACTTTGCACCATCAACATCACCTGTCGTCTATTATTGCCCGTGTATATGATGAGCAAGTTCTCTTTGTCAGCGCCTTCTAGGAAACATTCAACGTTTTCGAACTACTACGGTCCAAAAGATACCCCTTGCCATGTTCATGCTGGCCAAGCTCCCTAAGGATCAACGGAATATGATCGATATTAGTTCCTTAAGGAACGTCATGGTTGGGGCTAGACCAATGTCGATCATGATCGAAGGGGATGTCATCAAAGCCTTTGGCGTGTATGTCTCCTGGGCATGGGGAATGACGGAGAGCACATGTGTTGGGACCATCACGCTGCCAGACACGAGAAACGTCAGCGGCAGTGTCAGATACCTGATCGCTAACACAATGGCGAAGCTAGTGGATGAGGACGGAAAACGAAGTCCTGGGCGGACCTTGTGAGTTGTACCTCCGTGACCCCCAGGTGATACTCGATTACTGGTTCGACGAAAAGACCACGAAAAAGACCATCATGCCAGACGGATGGTTGAGCACTGGTGACTTGACGGTAGTCAAGGACAGCATGTGGTAGATTGTGGACCGCAAGAGGGAGTTAATCAAAGTGAACAACAGCCTATAAGTGGCACCAATCGAAGGGGAGGCAGATTTGTTTCAGCATCCTGACGTGGCGGATGCCGCGGTGGTAATGACAGTTAGCCTCGATATGGACCTCCCTCACGCCTACCTTTTGATGCAAACGATATATGAGCTCTCAAACTCTCTTTTAGTGTCAGACGACCGCATCAAAATCATCGTCGCGACAACCATTGCTGCATATTCTGAGCACCTTCAATTCACAAAGCACCAGAGTGTTGGTGCTTCTACATTCTGAACCTCTAAAACTGCGGTACCTCGTAAGAGAGGTTTTCATACCCATCACCCCGAGAAAATTGTTTAAATTCACATCCGTGAAGATGGACTCCTTATGCGCGGCCTAAGGACAGTAATGTGCCTCCCACCTGGCTGTTGAGACCTTGTTCAGCAGGGGATGGTTTGCTGAGCCATACTAATAATTATCTTCTAGAGTTTGTTCTACGAACATTTCTCTCCTGTTCGAGAACTCGAGAGCAAATACCCGCTGTTTGGTCAACATGTTCCAATGTGGTCTGGACATACCAACGCAATGCATCAATTTGTCTGTGAGTTATGCATTTGCCAGAGAGCCACTATGTATGCCCAACCCAGCTAACGACGCGAGTTTTTGTAGTATGGACCGCTTTAGAATATGAAGCCTTCGGCGCAAGCTTCCAGAGTTACAATCCGCTCATAGACGATCGCGTTGCCGAGATATGGAATATCCCTTAGGGGTGGACTCTAATGGCAGAATTTGGTTTTGGGAAACCTTTGGGTAATCTTAGTGACAAGACTCAGCTGCCACTTGAAGATAGGATCAAGTATGTTGGGTTCGTAGGAAAGAATGGTTATTGGGTGTTTATAAACAGAAATCCTCCGGAAGACTGCGATTTTCAAGGAAATTCTTAGCAGGCGTTATCCTGCCAGAAGAAAAATATGATCTTATCCTGTAGCCCTGCAGACTTCATACCTCGGACCTCTTCCATGCCTCTTTCATCATTGCTATTCTGTTTTCCCCATACGGTTCCGTGTCAAACTCGAATGGTTCCGGACCGCTATTTCCCGCACTGACATATTTGTACCAAGGAACTTCAACCTCCTTACCGTCCTTAATTTTTTTGCATATACGGCACGCCCATGCAAGCGAGGCTATCTGAATAAATAGCGCACGCTCTGCGATCTCGTAACCAGGGCAAATGCGGCGACCAAACCCAAATGCCGAATATCGCCGTATAGTAGGTTGTTGCTCGTTGGGCTCCTTGTATGTGGCCGGGTACTCCGGCCGGAGCCATCGATCCGGACAGAAAGAATCCCCGTTGGGATACATAGCCTCGTTTCGGTGCATGCCCCACTGGTTGCCCCAGACGAGAGAACCTTTGGGTATGTAGTATCCCTGGTAGACATCGCTCTTCACAGCACGATGTGGAAGGTCTAAAGACAAATGATCAGCAAAGCTATCCTTCCTTTCAGAAATGACGATTGATGACCTTACTCGAAGGGACGACGGGTCTCCAGCGGAGAAGTTCTTTGGCGAAAGCACGAACAAGTGGAAGTTGGCCCCAGTCTGTGAATTCCGGCACTCTCCCCGGACCGACCACCTTCTCCACTTCGTCGTGTAGACGTTCTTGCCACTCGGGGAAATGACACACTGCGAGACAATAATTCTGCATCGTGAGTGAAGTCGTTCCGGATCCTCCTCCGTAAAGGGTGGCAACGACATAACATGCTTCTTTCCAAGTCAGCCCGTACCCGTCATCTTTGGAAAGCCATTGACGAGCGAAGGATGGTGGATCTTCGGCGATTGCGTTTCTATATTTGTCCTCGGCTTCTCGGAAAAGGCTGTAGAAGTAGGACGACTCGATTTCATGAAGCTTTTTAGCCTGTTGCTTGAAAGGTGCCAGCCACTCAGGTAGATACATGAGTATCGGTAGAAAGTCGACCAGGTACAGCCCTGGGGACCCCACACGCTCAAGGGTATGCATCCGGGACATGATCTTTTCTGTGTGGTATTTTCCCTCCTCAGGACTGATCAGGTCTTTTCCAAAACCCTGCCGAACAGAGACGCAGGTAGAAACCCGCTCAAGCCAAAGTTGATACTGTGAGGGATCGATCAACATATCTACTACCATACGTCTGGCTTCTCGCTCTTGAAATGGCTTCCACTTGTCGGCCATACTAGCGCTTGTCACCATCGTTGCAAATCTCCTGCCACGCTTCCAGTAGTTGTCAGATCCGCGCACTACGAGATCTCCACCATCGGTAACCAAGTGTACCATTGGAAAGAGTTTCCGATCCGAATAGTTCGAACCTCTGGTCGCCATCAAATCCTCAGCTATCTGAACATCATTAATGATGACCGACGTGGTTCCGAGAATGTTAATCTTGTAGATGGGCCCATAGGTTTTGCCCCATTCCTGGAATCTGATCCACCAGTGTGATGGAGGGAAATCAAGAAGGTTGCCGATGAATGGGTATCCTTAGCTACAATCAGCGCTTTTTCCGACCAACGATGATGATTCTTCAATTAACCTTTTGGACCTGGAAGCGCACGACTGCCTCTTGGTGGTCTTGAGGAGATGTGTTGTTGAAACCATATCAAAATGAACAGACTTATCACAACGCAGACGAACAGGGAAGAGAAGGACGAAAGCTCCATTATCTTGAACATTCGTAACAATAGGACCAGAAGCTTCCTGGAAGTACATCGTTAACACTCACGATTAAACAATTACCTAAATACAGGCAACAGAGGATTGTGTCTTACTTTACGACTGCAGCTCCCGGTGTTATCCGTTAGGTCTCTTGAGAGCTTCGCAAGTGCCCCAGAAATTCCGCCCGCATTTTCGGAGCTCTAGATCCGGAGCACAAGGCAGAAATAGCAGTCCGGAAGTTCCGAATTCACCTTACTACCCCGTGCCGAAAAGTGTTACTTTTTGGTTTCAACTATACGTCCGGCGTTCCGAAATGGATTACGTCCTGGACTACTCAACTAACCTTTGCTTTTTAGGTCGGACAAGACCACTACATAGGGTTTTAACATGCAGTAGCAGAGAAGGGAGTTCCTACTACTGCTCCATAAACTATTGTCTTGTAGTGCATTCTGGATTCTGGTCATAGGATTCAAATCGCGCTGTTTAAGGGAAGTTTTGATTTATTATATCCAGAGCGCTGTGTTACGTTTCGCTTCACACAGGGTGTCACAAGACGTATGGTCTTAATAGGCAGAAAGTATAAGAGGCAAGGTCACTAAGAGCGCGGTACTTAAGCGAGTACAAGAGCGAAGTGATCACAACTAAAACGTATGGGTATAATCGTGAACGAAGTTAACTATATAGTAAAGCTATGTAAGGACCATATATATATAGGCGCGCTCCTATATATACTCTATTTCTCTATCTAAACATAGGGAATAGAGAAATATAGATCACGTGATACTTCCTTAGTTAGCTAAGACTGATATTAGGCTAGCTCTCTATGTTTATACTTACCCTTAGTTATCCTTTCTTATTAGTAACGCTTAGCCTATTGTCATAGCTTAATATATAGCTTATAATTAGGCCTAATTTATAACACGCTATTAATGAATTAGGGATAGACTAAGATATTAACTATATTAACTATTCTAAGTTAAAAGTTTTAATTAGTTAACCTATGTAAGGCTAAGTAAACTACGTAAGGCTAAGTAAACTACGTAAGGCTAAGTAGAATAAGACTATTAATTTATAATCACTAGTCTATTCTATTCTAAAGCCTTCTATATAGACTCTTCTTTATGTCTATATAAGGAGGTCTTTATCCCACTTATAAGCTTTTACTCCTTAAGCTCTCTAAGTCCTTATTTAGTTATTACTTAGCTAGTTATTTATTAATAAAGGCTTATTACGCTATACCTTTCTTTATTATAATATAACTTAGTTCTCTTAATAAAAGTTAGTAAGAATAACTAAATATTTAATGTTCTAAGTTTAAAATAATTAATAAAGGTCTTTAAGTCTTAAATATATAAAAAAGTAAAGAAAAAGTCTTAACTATTAATTAACTCTAGCTATAGAAGTTATATTAAAGTAATTTTTATTATTTACTATATAAAGAATAATATTAACTTACTTATTATACTTTCTTATTACTCTTATTTTCTTTAGTTACTTAATATTAAGGTATTTTTAGTGTTTAAGTATATCTATATAAATAAGATTAATATAACTAACTTCTTAACTAAGCACATAATAAATTTTATATTTATAATAATTAGTAAACTACATAATAGGTAAAGTAATCTAAACCTAAAACTTAATATTTAACCCTAATAAGTAAGGTAAGGTAAACCTTTTTAATGTGTGAGTATCTATAGATAAAGTAAGACTTTTCTTATAAGTACTTAAAACCCGATTTTTCACCTATTTAAAAGAAAAAATTAAAAAATTTAGATTATTACTTAAATTATTACTATTTTTAGTAATTTTAAGATATAAAATAGACTTTAAAAGATCTTAGTATTACTTTTACCTTACTCTAAACCCGCGTAAATATCTATAGATAGAGTACTTAATTTTAAAAAAACCTTAATAAGTATATAGATAAAGTAAGACTTACTTAATGAGTTACTTTACTCTACTTATTACGTAATTTAATAATTAGAAATATTTATTTAAGCTTATATAAAGACTATAAAGCTAAATAATATCCTTAATAAATAATAAAACACTAAAGTAGTACTTAATAACTTATAAAAAATACTTAACTAGCTCCCTTAAAATTAGGCTTAATAAATATCTTTACTAATTATATTATTAAAAGAGTATAATATAAATAATAAGTGAGTAAGATAA